ACACTGCACTGTCATTTGCAAGGTCATTGTTTGTCATGAAAAACTAAAAACTATTCAACAAAGATTTAAAGCTTTTTTCTTACTTTTTTTAGGGTCTTCAACATTGGGAGAAAAAAAGAATCATCTAGGATCRGGCAGAAATTTGTCCAATTTTTTGAAAGCTCCTCCGCCACCCAGAAATAGATCTATGAAACATAACAATGTACTCCATAGCAATCATTCAGTGAAACACTCAGTCGACACCTCTACTGGTTTTGCTACTTCTAGGACAAGTAATAGTAAAAATGTTATGGATTCTTCAACCAGTAATATTACGGCTGCRGCAAGTGAAGGGAGTGGTTTTCTTAAACCTGACGCTAGCAGTCAGGCCATAAGTGATATTGGAAACATTATTGCAAGTATTGATGGAAACGTTTCAAATGGACAACCAGTTGTAATAAGTCAAACCCAAGGAATTAATTCACGGACAACTTCTGGAAACCTTCCTTCTGGTGTTAGTGTGAGCTTGGACTCAAATTCGTGCTCTAATCTCGGGGCTAATAGTGATGTGTCTATGACTGGAACAAGAACTGCTTATACAACAGTTTATACAACTATTAATAACAGCAGTAGTGTAAATACAACACAGGGGGGAAATGTTAAAGAAATATTACCAGCACCTTTGAGCAGCAAAGTTAATGGTGTTTCAGGTGGAACAGTCTCTCCTTCAAATGCTGTGGTTCAGGTAAAACTTGAATTTTGGATTCCATTTGATGTGGATGTTTTCTGGAAAAAATCTGTACTCCAGACACTTCCCACCCATCGGAAATTCAAATCCCCTCCAGGGCTTAAATAATGTTAGGACATCGTCAGACAATGTCCTCCCAAAATTGAAACTTGCCCATAAAAGAAAGAGAAACACGCGAAAATCTATATATATTTTTTCGTCATCTTAGTTTTGTTTTTTCCTCTGGCAAAATGGCCACATATCRTCAAACTAGTCCATTCCTATCCCATTCCATGGGGAACCATACTGCAGAAATGAAGGGCAATGAATCTTGTCAATATAATGATAAGAAGATGTAACTAGCTAAAAACTAGTGTGAGCTAGTGTGTTTCTAATGAAACAGTAATGATAAAAGGTAAATTATGCACCGTGAAAAAGATGAAAAAACTTACTGACGTTTCGGACGCTAGTCCTTTGTCAGAGTAAAATCATCTTCATCTTTTTCACAGTGTATAATTTACCTTTTATCATTACAATATAATGATATATTTTCTCTCTCTCATGTATCTCAAAGATTGCAGGTCAACTGGACCCAAGTTTAGGTAAGTGCATGACTATAAATGACGACATGCACCTTTAACTATTCTGAATGTTATACAGTGTATTTCTGTAAGGAAGTATTCTTATTTTACCAGGGAAGAGGATGGTGGGATTAATYTTTCTAGATATTTATTATACATTTGGGCTAATCATCATTGTAGGTAAAGTTGCAGTTACAAGCACAGGTACACAAAGAGAGAGCCCTGTATTTTTTACGACTCAGGTTAGTATTGTAAGCAAAATGTGCATTACCATTCAAAAACTCATGAATAATTCATAAGCCTTTGGTCCAATTGGAGCCACCATACACGTCACGTGCATGGACCTTTATACCYGATAAAGTCCTCTTCATTAGTATTCTTTATATAAAGAATACTAATGAGGATGAAACTTTATTTTAAAGACTCATCCTTATTAGTATTCTTTATACAAAGAATACTAATGTGGACAACCTTATCAGAATAAAGGTGAATCCAAGTTTAGATGAAGATCTAGAGCCTCATMAAGGTCAGTCTCACGTACAATCATTGACGACCCATAAATTATCATYGACTAGTGCCCCTGTCTTGAGTTCGGCATGTTGTCTTCAACTTGTGGGAGCCTTTTTTGCACTTACTGCGCATGGCAGTGACGTACAAACCTCACTGCACATGAAATTGCAGTACAAACAACTATCAAAGTATAAAAGTCAATGTTCGCGAGGTATATGGTGGCTCTACTTCAACCAAAAGTTTGTGAATTATACTTAAAGTTTTTGAAGCCATTTAATAAACTCGCAGATCGTGTTTTATCGGGTCTAAAACCACTCGGCTATGACTCGTGGTTTAAACCCGATAAAACACTCCTGCTCGTTTATTAAACACTACATAAACTTTTAATATGAGGACAGTGGTGGTGATGGTGATGATGATGATGGTGGTGGTGATGATGACGATGGTGATGATGAAGATGATGATGATGGTTAGTGGTGTTGATGGTGATGATGATGGTGGTGGTGGTGTTGGTGATGATGAAGATGATGGTGGTGGTGGTGTTGATGATGATGGTGATGATGATGATGGTAGTGGTGATGATGACGATGATGGTTGTGGTGGTGGTGGTGGTGGTGATGATGATGATGATGGTAGTGGTGATGATGGTATTGGTGATGAAGATGATGATGGTGGTGATGGTGATGATGAAGATGATGATGATGGTGGTGATGAAGATGATGATGGTGATGATGAAGATGATGATGGTGGTTGTGATGATGATGGTGATGATGAAGATGGTTAGTGGTGGTGGTGGTGTTGGTGGTGATGAAGATGATGATGGTGTTGGTGTGGTGGTGATGATGATGATGATGATGATGAGGATGGTTAGTGGTGGTCATGTTGATGGTGATGTTCTTCTCCTAACACTTCATGGCCAACCGCTGCTTGCTTTATAACTGCACACAGCATGCAAGGGCATTTTCTATTTCTTCAATTTAACTCATCTTTTTTCTGTCATTCTAGAATTCTGGTAATGTACAAATGGTGACTTCTTTACCAAATGGCACTGGTCCCTCCCCTCCCCCAATAGTAACAAGTGTCAAGGGATACCCCCTTAGTTTTGTTATACAGGGAAGTTCAGGGAACAAGGCTGGTACRGCAGTAGCTGCAGTTGCTAATCAAGCTGCTGTCGGCTTTACAAAAGGACATAGTTTGGTGTTTAATAATATGGGAATGGCACAAATGCAGCAGCAGTCRGGACATATTATTGCACAACAGCCTACTTCACCTTTAAAGCAGCAGCAAGTACGACAAAAGGGTGAGCTAAAATTGAAAATTTTTTTTGGCTGGCTGGCAGTTTAAATTGGTATATTCCTATTTATAGCACACAACACTCAACTCACACATTGATTTTTATGGAATGTGGGGGGTGGGGGGTGGGGGGAGTGGAGAACCCAGATAAAAGCCCTTGTGGCAAGGGAAAGAATTCCCTCTTGCAGAGCCTATTTTCCTTTTGTTTTGGTTGAGAGAGAAAAATTGACTCTGCCGATGAAGGATGTTATTTCTGCCTTGCATGCGTGGTGTAACTTAGCAATGCTGTCATGATTTTTACAGCCGATCTCATCAGACAATGTTTGGCGCCACGATGTGTTACATTTGCTCACGCACACTACATATAATCAGTTAATAACCGGTTTTAAAACTGGTTTTGTTCGTCCACAATTGTTGACGGCGGTATATCAAAGGAAACGCTCTACATCAGCAGAGTCTCCTTCCTCCCTGCCTGAAAGAAGGGAGAGAAAGAGAAGAGAGAGAAAGAGAAGAGAGACTCTGCTAGCAGGGAAGAGAAAGAACAACAAGTCAAAAAAGCTCAACACACATAAGGGTTTAAACCACTGCTTTGAGAGACAATAGACAGCGTTGTAGAAGCTCATGCCAACCATGTCATTTGTGACAACTAATGGAAGATTTTAATTTTCAGGTAAAGTTCTTTTGCGAGCAAACTCGTACCCCARGGCAAATAACAAGACGTGCGGTTCACAAGGAAAGATACCACAATCAGCATCATCTCAGCAGCAACAGCAACAACTCTCACCAGGACAAGTGCCGTCACAACAAAAGACAATCATCGTCACAAGTCCACCTCCAGGACAACAGAATTTGTATTTGAACCACCAGCATATCCCAAACACTTCACAGCCTATTGTACAACTCAAGCAACAAGTGGAACAGCAACAACAACAATTACAACAAATCACTTTACAACAACAACTTCAGCAACAACAACTCCAACAACAGCAGTTACAACAACACAAACAAATAAACTCTCAGTTTGTGAAACAACAACTACCTATTCAGCCACGCCTTGCTCCGGCACCTCATCCTCCATCGCAGTCATTGATAACCCAACAACAGATAAGTGGTCAAAATATTGTTATTAAAGCTGCGGACCAGCCATTGAAGAGCCCTCTGAACTCTGTCTTTGTAACTACRGACTCACACCAAAACATACAAACTGCAGTAAATCACAAGCCTCAATCAAATGTTGCTTGATGCTCCAGGATTTTGAATATTTTTTGATGYATTTGTATGAGTTAATGCTTGTTTTGATAAAGAATTTATCACTGAAATCTTCTTACTATCCTACCTCTCAGTGAACGGCTGTGCACATATATAAATATATATCTAACTATTAATATTTCACTTCCAATGAACTTCTTACAAGAATACACATCACAGGATTTGAACATAATTCCATCAATCTGTGAACATTTTCTAATCACAATAAGAATTTGTCAAGGTTCTATTTATATCATAATATACAAAATGCAGCWTGCTTTTTCGTCTATAATATTAATATTAAAGGCCTGATTTTTCAGGGAACAACTATTATTCCATCTGCTACTGTTCTACTGCACTCAAAATTGCCGGGGGGGGGGGGGGG